AAAAAACTAAAGCTTTTATCGAAAATTTGAAATTATATTGTGTTACGGGAGCTGCCTCTAGGGTCACGTGGAAGTGTCTAGAGTTCTCTCGAGGTGGTTTAGACTAGACTCCAAGTAGGAATTCAATAAGGTTGTAACTGGTTGCAATTCTCGTAACTATAGTAATGAAACTAATGATTGTTCTCTTGAGCACGAAGCTCTACATTATAATGAAATCCCATTCCTTATATAGATCTTCGTTCTCTGATGTTGATTTGGAGTTTCTTGGAGTCCTGGCTCCTGAGAACTCCACCACGTGACACTGGTCACATGGCATTCTGTTACCCATCGTAACATATTGATATTAAATTCTAATATTTTTTGTAGAAAATATTTTAAAGATTAATTATTAGTAAAATAATAAATTTATAATATTTTATTTCATTTTTAAGTTATATAATATTAATAATCTTTAAAAAAAATACAAATATATTAAAATCTATAATTCATTAATATTATATCTAAATAGAGATTTATAAATATGATTAATAATTTGATTTAATTTAATAATAAATATAATATAAATATTTATTAGTTTCTTTAAGAAATTTTAATTTTAAACATTTTTTATAAAGATTTTAATCAATTATTAAAGAATAAAACTATATTGATTAAATCTTAATTTAATAAAAAATTTAAATTTTGAAAATTTGATTATTAATTAACATTAAATCAACTTTTATTTGAAAAAATTGTTTTAAAAAATAAATTAATAATATTTCGAATTACAAAAAACTTATTTCTAAAGAATTTTATTTTAAAATAAAAGTTATATAATTAAATTCTCATTATATATAATAAAATTAAAATTTAAATAATTTTAAAAATAAAATTTCAAAAATAAAAGATTTTTTTAAATAATTTCCCTTAATAAACTAAAAATTTATATATTTTAATATCTAACATAATTCCTTTTCTAAAAATATAATTTTTAAATCTTCAATATTAAATATAAAATTTATATTCATTTTAAAATATATATTCAACTTTCTCAAAATAATTATAAATAATTCAAAAAATCTAATAATCCATATTAAATTTAATTCTTTTTACTTTTTTTATTTTTTTTATTTTTTTATAATATTATTGATATCAAAAAATCTATAAAAATCTATTATAATTCTAAAAATAGATTATAATATATTATTTATTAAGAAATTATATATCAAAATTCTATATTCTCTTTATTCAATTATTCAATCAATTCTTAATTTAATAATTTGAAATTCTTATAAATCTAAATTAATAATATTAATTAATTATAGAATTGAATTTTATATTATTATAATAATTTTTAAATTTTAAATTGATTTTTATTTTGATATAAAAAAGCGTGCATATAGTAGGGTCGTGCATGTAGTAGGGAAATCGGTTACCCATCTTGGCAAACACGAGATTAGGTATGGATGGATCATGTAGAAGGCTACTCCGTGTGATGGCTAGAATGAGATCGAAGGCTAATTTTGGGGACTTGCGCTCACAAAGGCTTCGCGAGTGATGAGATGAAGGATACGCATTTTTGGAGATTGAGTATTTTATCTTGGAGGAACGGAAAGAGAGTGATGGATGAATGGGAGGGAATCCATGGCCCCGAGACATGAAATTTCTCCTTCCTTTCGATTTTTGACCAATTCCCGAAATCTCATCTCATATTGGAGAGGTGGAGAGCGCGTAGCTGGGCGTTTACAAGAGTGAAAAATCTAGAACAATCTTGTCGGTCGTGAATGATACCTACCCTAGAGATTTTATTCAATTACTACTCTTGGATTAGATTACAACTGATCCGTCCGGGGTGTTTGATAGGCGTGTGCATTTTCAGGGGTAATACTTTTTTTGGGTGCAGGAACATGGCTAGGACGGGTGAAGATCGTTACTTTTATGCAGGCACAGTTTCATGAACCGTTGTGCGATGCGCCATACGTTCAAGTGAAGAGCTGTGCTGGGTTGTGGGGATCAGATTGGACGGAGAGGAAGTTTCTTCTGTAGGTTCAACCGTTTAGTTCGGCGTTTGAGTAACTGAACACCTTGGGCTGAAGAAGCAAGAAAAGATCAAGGCGGTTGAAGAAGAAACAAATGCCGTGGCCTTATGATCGGCCTTTTTATATAGACGATCAACATTTGAGATTAGATTTGCTTTTACTGTGCCCTATTGCCTTGTGAGGTGGTGATGCATGATGCTAAGATGATTATTTCAAACACTGCGCCTCTTGAACTTTTCCTCGGGTGTGTTATTGATTTCTTCATGGTTGTTGATACAATTTTGAAGCTTCGGGTGTTGTGAATGATGATGGCTGAGTAAATACGATCTAGAAGTAATAAGAAAAGGAGTCCGGTCCAAAACGCCGGTGCAAGCTCCCGATGAAGGGGCTTCAATCGCTTGATAGATAATTGACAAGCTATCCCCTAAGGTGCCAGCAATGAGCTCCAAAAGTAGTCCATACACCAACTAAAAACATTGATAGCTTTAGAAATAGTGTTAGAAAGAAAATCTTTATATCTTTTATATAAATTGTTATTATCATTCATCTTTTGAAATCAGTAAGTATTAATACTAACAGCATCAACAATCTATCAAATCTTTGACCGAGTAGACTTGAGATAGACTTGAGACTTTATTATCATTCGACGACCATCGGACCATGAGTAAGTGAACAATAACAATACATGTATCGTCTCAATGAGGGGGTTTCCATACTTCAGCATCCAGACTGGGGAGATTTACACTGCATGCCGAAATGAACCTTGACAGAAATTAAAGACGGTCAGATGAAATTGAATGTCGGCCACTGAAAGCTTGGCCCTCTTGGTAGTTGTATCAATTACCTCGAAAAGTAAATTATGAATCATGATTAATCCAAAGGTCAAGCACCAAGCACCAAGCACCAAGCACCACAAAGCACAACACATCATACCGAAAGAGAAAAAAGAAGGGTGCGATTTAAGAAAATCCCCCTCTATCCAAGTCTTCCCTCACCAATCATTCCCATCTTGGCCAACAGATAATTAATTTCCGAGAATCTGTTGTTACTGATATGTGTAATAAAGTCGTCATTATGCCTATATTCTGTAATATACTTTTTGACCAATTCGTCCAACTGTAATCTACTCAGGGAATACAACAGATGAATCCTGAATTTCTAGATACAATGTACGACTTATCTAGGTACCTACCACGCCTACTTCCTACTTTACAGTACCTACCTACCATCCATCGTACATAAATTGCGCGCATGTAAATATTGAATTATCCGCAATTCATGTGGTCATATCAGCTCATACATACATACATGCAATGCATACATACGAAGTACGTACATCGTAGGTACCCAAATGCATCGATAGCTACCTACATAGATCATTCCATGCGATTAGATTCGATTCGCATTCACGCACCCAGAAGAAACATGCAAAACGAAGAGGCTTAAACAACTGGTCGTAATCATCCAACCACACCGACTACGGGATGAACGATTCATTTTATCTGAGTAGCAACTGCATCATCCAAAGATGCAAATTCATGCAAAACACTAATAACCTTTTCTTCTCTACCCACACTCAATATTTCTTTCACTCAGAGCTCACATTGTTAGTGTCCGTTTTGTTTGTTTAGGATTTTAGGTAGATGGGCTCGTAGGCTTAGAGGTAAATCATAGTCGGGGTTTCACCAACCAGCAAGAAGATTGAGTAGAGCAAGCCAACCGAATCCTTTGAAACGAAGATTAAGTGCCCTTCAATTTCTCCATGCTTGCTTGGACCGGTTGTGCTCCGCCCACTAGGAAGCCAGAATATGATGAGAATTATGACCTTACACTTCTAGCCCACATACAGATGTACAAACTTGTCTTCTTTGAGTAATGATTCTTGCACCATCCGTTGTCACGATTCTTACAGAATACCCCTATCTTCCCTCTCATTGGAAGAGAGAATGGAACACGCAGAACTCTCACGCGACAGCGCACTATGATTGGTTCACTCTGCACAAACAATCAGGAATTAGAACATGACTAACCCCTGAAGAGATAATAACATAGCCTCTCAAAAACGAGAAATCCTCCAAGCTTTGGTCTTTCCAAGGTTCCGATGACTTTCAAGGGTCAATTGCGGTGAGATCCTCCGAAAGACCTGGGTTGTTAGCTGTACCTGCATTGCACCCATGGATGTGCTTTGGAACCGCGCCGCCTGGGTGTAAAATGTGGCAAGCAACGCGAAGAAAGAAAAAAAAAAAGAAGAGAAGAAGAAAAAAGTCTCTTTTCCCTCTGCGTTATAATGGAGAATGGTACCATACCAGAGACTGAGAGGAGCCATACAAATCCCCTCCCCCATGGATCGATCCATCCTTACTTAACATATTTTATTCTCCTTGGACCAAGTAGGTAGTAATCCATCCAGTAATCCATCCAGTAATTAATTATTAGTAATAATCCCCCCTCACCCATGTTCAATTCATAATTAATCCCACTTGTCCAGGGTTCCACTCATTATTTTTCTGTGCCCACCTCTCCCCGTTCGTTTTGCCCATTTCCTTTTAAGCAATTCTCCTATAGCGAGGAGCACCGCACCCTTCCTCATCCTTCCTTTAAAAGATTCCTCCACCCTCCTTTTTCAACACAAGATCTCCCTTGATCACTACACAGTCATTACCAAGTCCCTTTTGCACAAAAGAGTTCCTTTCTCTGTTTCCAACTCTACAGTCATTCTTTACCTTGAAAGCATACACCTTTTTGCGGAATCGACTTTCGCTCTTTAACACACACGCACGATTCATCACGACCACTTACATACAAGTCTATCAAAAAAAAAGAAGAAAAAAGAAAACATTTTTGGGTACATAGCCATTCTTCTTTGGATTCTTCAGACACTATTAGGATAGCATTGATTGCTTGGGAATATATCGCAACAGGAAGGAACATATCATTTACGAGGAATCTAGAATTTACATTTATCCTTCGATATCAACCACCATGCATTTCACAGCTGCTTCCTTGGCTCTTTTGGCCGGAGTTGCTGCCGCTTCTCCTCAACCAGGTCACTACCACCCAAAGCGTATTAACAACGGTACCGTCTCTGCCACCACCGCTACTGATAACGGACAAACCACTTTGACCGTTTTCGCTACCACCGTCCGAACCATCACTTCATGCGCTGCTTCCATTACCAACTGCCCAGCTCGTGCCACCTCCAGCGCTGAGGGAGCTTCCACCACCCCAGAAGTCATCGTCGTTACCGATACCGTTACCTTGGCCACCACCGTTTGCCCAGTCGCTGAGGCCGAATCTGCTAGCTCCGTCATCACTAGCAAGCACTTGACATCTGCTCTTGCATCCCTCTCATCTGCCATTGCCAGTGCTGCAAGTGAAAGCTCTTTCTACGGTGCTACCACCACCTCTGCTATCCCAGCTGCTTCCAGCGGAGTTGTTGGTGCTACTAGCCCAATTGCTTCAAGTGCTATCGCATCCTCAACCGCTCTCGGTGTTAAGACTAGCCCAGCTTCCTCCCTAGCTGTTTCCTCTCTCCCAGCCGCCGCTGTCTCCAGCGCTCTCGGTGTTGAGTCCAGCTCAGCTTCCTCCGGTGTGGCCGCACTAACTGGATCTTCCCCATCCTCGGTTGTTGTTCCTCTCGGAACTGGCGTCGTTTCCGCCGTCCAAACCGTTACTGGTAACCCTAGCCACACCTTGACCTACACTCTTGGCTCTGGTTCTTCCACCACCGTTGTCACCACCACCATCATTGAGACCTCCGCCTCTACCATCTACGCCACTGTTACCCCAACTCAAACCGTTGCTACTTCCTCTGGTGCCGGATCCCCAGCTGGTTCCGCCGCTGTTTCTTCCGAGGCTGGTGAATCTACCACCTCCCAAACCACCACTGTTTACGGTACCTCCACCTCTACCCACTACGTCACCGTTTCAGCTGTTTCCTCCGGACCTGCTGCTACTACTGGTCTCGCTGGTGTTACCGCTATTGCCTCGGGTGCTGGATCTGCTTCCCCATCCGCCACCGCTGGTGCTTCCTCTGGAGAGTCCACTGGTACTGGATCTGGATCTTCAGGTTCTGGATCATCTGGATCTGAGACCTGTGCTTGTGCCGAGGCCTCTACCGTAACTGTCACTGCTACCGTTGCTGCTCAAACCGTCACCGTTGTAAGTTTTTAATCATTTTGACCTTTCAAAAGCCCATCAAACTAACAATTATCTCTAGACCGCCGCTGCCGCTGGATCTGATGCCACTGGTGCCCTCTCAGGTATCCAAACCGCTATCGTCTCCACCAACTCTGCCGCTGCTACCACTGACGCTTCCGTCGTTGTTAGCACTGCTACCGTTGTCCCAATCCCAGCTACCACTGCCGATGTCACTTCTATCCCATTCTACGGTAACGGAACTGCTGTTACTTCCACCAAGAAGTCCAAGTGTGCATCTTCTGGTTTCTTGACCAGCAAGGCTAAGCCAACTGGTGCCAAGCCAACTGGTTACTAAAATCTTTCCACAAAAGGAATGGATTTTGTATATCCTTGAGCTCGATGTGATCAACTGCTTCTTGACAGCGAAGTAAGTGATTATGCATCAGCAAAGATGTTGAGGTGGAGGTTTCCTTTGTTAATTGCACATTGTTTTTTTTTTATTGCCAAATATTTATGAAGAGGATTTGAAGATGGAGCAGGATCAGACAGTTTAAAAGATTGCGGATTGATGTAAGGGATTGATATCAATGAAGACAAAACAAAAACCAAATACTTTCTTGTGCATTATCATTTTTAAAGTTTTATGTATGCGTTTTTTGTGTTTTCATTGCACATTTTGCTTGCTTGTATGTTTTTGGTCATCAGGTTATGACTAACACTTCTATGGAGTTCTTGCATATGATGGTACGAGGGATTTGGAGGATAGTTTTTTTTGCCTAGGCGTCTCAATTTACAGATTCATGAACGTATTCCTCGTATGCTCCTGTGCAATCTTCTATGCTTCTCTTCTTTTGATGTGCTGTGCAGAACGATGTAAACAATTTAGAACGTGGGATATCAAGTACGCAAGGTTGCTTGTCAGCGAATTGTTATACTCTTGTAAATAGCTTAAAATCAATTAACGATGGTACCTGTGTTCTGTTCCATGGATTTGAACACTGGATTCTATCATTTGATGAAACGATGAATAAGCAGCATATCTGTGATTATAACGTTTGAGCTTGCCGCACAGGTAAGAAGGATTTGGACGATATATGTAGGACGATGGAGGGGTGGTATTGATTCCTTTAAAGAATAACCATACCACACTACTCCTACTATCATGTGGTACTCGATGGATTTAAAGCATTTGGCTTGATTACTATATGGCCATCTTACTGTTGACTCGAATCTTACGACTCTTGTACTAACAATGCTCAATCTTATCTCATCTTCATTCTCAGATTCGAAATCATTCATTTAGCTACTCAGCTACCTCCCACTCTTGCAGTCGAGGACTCGAAAACAAGTGAAATATATCACTTATTGCACTGGCATTAACTCTCGACGCAATGAGAAAAATCTATTCCTCGATACCCAATCCGAAATGAACATTTTCTCTAACGGAGAGAGAGAATTTGAATGAAGAAATTGGAACGAAGAAATCGGAAATCATATACTAGATCTAGTATGTACCCCGGAAGATCATTTGTTTGATATTCATCTTGCATTGAGAGTCGAGAGTCTGTACGTACCTATGGGATTTGAGGGTCTGGTGTTGTGTTTTTTTGTTAGAGAAAACGTATTTGCGTTGGATGTACTGGTATGAGCTTGGAAGTTGGAACTCGGGGTATGGATGATGTTGATGTGCGGTGGGGATTTGTCTGTCTGTCTGTCTGTCTGTCTGTCTGGAAGGTAAAGGTAAGACATTCTGTCGCATGCATGTATTGTGGTATGTGTGGGTGTATATATGGGTGTATGTGTGGGTGTATGTGCGTATGATGTGTGCAGTATTATGATGATTGATGGATGGGTGGATGGCATGAGGGGAGTTGGAGATAAGGGTCTGCAGAGTTGATTGAAGGATAATGCGTCTGCTAGAATAGTAACGAGGGACGATCATATTATGTATATATCATCATTTAAACATTGAATATCGTATTTACATCTTTCTTTCTTTCTTTCTTTCTTTCTTTCTTCTCTCCCCTCCAATAAATGTTCCATGTGATTCTTCCTGTTCCCCCATCCCTCCCATGCCATCCATCACTAAGCAAAACCGCATAATCGTCGTTTTCAGCCAAGCCTCATCGTAAAAGGTTAAACCCCAAAGCCCCGTCGCAGTGGAAAAATGTCTGGGACTTGATTCTCTCGCAACACCGTTGCCATTATCATACCTCACTCACTTCACGGGACGAGTATCATGACTCGAAGAATACGAATTCAATCTTCACATTGGTCGCATTCAACCTTTACTATTCAAACCAGCCTCCTCGATTGATTGAACTTTGATTTGTTTTTCGTTTTTTCATACCTACCAATACATACGATTGGGAATTTATTCACAGAGGTGACCGGTACTACACAACTTCATTCAACTGTTGCATTTAACGGTGCGTGCCTAGGTACTGAGCTATTCTACCCAACTCTGTATCCGACATTGCATTGCATTACCGATACATTCATTACCTTATCCTCAATTCTTCTGGAAGGCGGATACGAAAGATTACTGTACTCGTTATTACTCTTGACTCTCTACCCTTTCTCATCTTTATTATTGTATTTACTATTTTCCTGGCACGTTGGGATTCAAATCGAATACACGGTTCGTAATTCAATTCACATCAGTACCAGGATTCACTCGACGAAACTGTCATCATTTCCAAATCAATCACATCACATTTACATACCCAGGTATTCATCACCAAGCAAGTAGCAACTACCACCCTCTGCAACCTGCGAACACTTTCAACTTTCAATCTCGATAAAAACCCACCGCCCCACCCAACGTACCCCAACCATACCTCGACATATACACAATGCGTCGCGCATCTCAAGATATGAGTGATCCCGACCGTAACATTATGGAATCAACCGGTATGCCAGAAGATCCCGTCGACCTCGAGCTCATATCCGAGAGAGAAGATTCTCCTTCAAATCGAATTCATACACCACCACCACGCATCGCGGCAAGATTCTATCGCCCCACCAATAATCGACGTAAATCCTCGGCTGCATCCTCGAGACGGAATTCCATCTCATCAGTTCATTCACATGGCTCGAGTCGTCATGCGGCGGGCCACGCCGGGATGCCGGGTCCGCAGAGTAACTATATTGCTCAACATCTACGTAGAGCGAGTATTCTTGAAGATCGAAAAGCGAGATTGGCCGATAGAGCAGCGCATGCGGAGAAAGTTAGACTGAGGGCGGCATTAGCCAAGGCAGCACCGAGAAGTACTACGAATACGGAAGAAAGAGCATTAGCAGCGCAACAAGCGAGAGAAAAGAATCTGGCAGAGATTGTAGCAAGTTGTGCGGAGGAAGTCAAGAGGGCAAAGGGAATCGCGGAGAGTATGAAAGAGAGAAGGGAATTGGAAGGGAAGAAGCTTAGAAAGGAGATGGAGGATAAACTTGCCGAGGCTGAAAGGAGGCGAGAGGAAATCTTGAGTCGAACTAACAACAGTAAACAACGAGGAAGAAGTTTGAGCAACATGAGAAAGAGTTCGAGTCCAAGTCCAGTTGCGGAGATCAAGAAGGCACCACTTACCGAGTCGGCGGCAGCAAAGATAATTCAAACTAGGTGGAGAATTCATAGACGTTGGAAGGCGCTACATGATTTTGCAGAATTGGGGCTCACAATTGATGGGGTTCGCGAGACTTCATTTGAGAAAGTGGTTGATTTATTGGCACAAGAGAAAGTTCTCCTTAGTACAGCACATATTTTGAGAATCTGTGGACTCAAAGAAGGAGAAAGCGGATCAGTCAATGAAATGACAGCAGTTCGAACCTTTCTCAGCGCTTTCCTTATCCTTGGTCACCCTACCCAGGTTCTGAGTAGTAAAGGTGATAAAGGAGAACAGGAACAGGTAGGAGCGCAACCAATGAAGAGGGATGATTTGGCTAATCCACAATTGCAGGACCTCGTTGCAAAAGCCCGAGATCTACTTATTTCTTTTGAGACGGTTTTGTCTAGATTGACAACTGCAAACAATTATACACCTCCTCCAGCTCAGCTTTCAACGTTGTCGGAAGTTTATGCAACATTCTTCAATGCTTTTATCGCTTGGAAATCGAGAGATGCAAGTACGCTTATTGACATGATGGTTTTACAATTTGTAGAATTAGATTCGATATGGCAAACTGTGAAAGATAATACGGAAGAATCTGTCACTGATTCATATCGTGATGGAATCAGAGATAATCAACTTAAATTGATGGTTAGGATCAAGAGACTTGCTGGACCGGTTCAGGGGAAACGATTAATTTCAAATGCTATCCGAGAAGCAAGAAAGGTTAAACAAACCAAGCAACCTACTGGGGACTCGAAACCTCGTGCGGCAGAAACTGGATCAGCATCTCCAGTCATTGAAGATTTTAATGCTTCCGAAAGTGCCGTTGCATCTCATTTACAAACCCTTACACCACCTGCTACACCTGTCAAACAACGTCGTGGGCAAGTTACCGATGCAGACAATTTAAGATCAGTTAATTCGATACTTCCAGACAATCGAACTTTGGTTCATGAATTGGTCATTAATAAAGAATATCGTATCTCGATGGAAGATTGTCTTCAACAACGAGGGGTCGTTAATCAACTTATCTTTGATTCCATGAGACAAGAAGTCGCAGCTGGGAATAGTGATCCTTGGGTTCTTGCAATGGCCGATAACATCAAGGGCAAACTTCAACGTCTTCTTACTCCTGGGAATTCAATGTACAAACTCATTGAAGATTCCCTCGATACAGATTTGGTAGCATCAGAACTCCAGAATGGCAGGTTTTCTTACGAAACTTTTTTCAGTTTTATGGGCAATATTTTACCTCGATTATGTGCTCCTTTCCGAGATGATGAGGTCAAAATCCTTGCCGAGACTACTCTCAGAGAAGGAGATTTCGTCTATCGTCTTCAAGCATTGATGCGCTTCATCGATCTAATGCAACTCGATTATGCCAATTTCATGCTTCAACAATCGGCTCCTGAACTGATCAAGCATGCTGCCACATATGAAACTAAACGTTTCTCAGAAGAAATGGAAGAGACCAATAACGATCTTACCATTACCACAAGAGCTTGGCGCGAAGCACGTCAAAAAGTTTATACAGAAGCTGCTCGTCGAGATCCGGAGAATGTCGGGTTGGCGAGAAATAGGCCTACGCCTGAGAAAACATACATTCAGATGTTGGTAGATATATGTACATCTGCGCCCGGAAGCCCAGTACCAGAAACCTTAAAGTTGGATATGGCAAGGATTGAGACGGCAAGGAAAGATACTCTTCGAATCGTCACCACTTCAGCAATTCTTCTACAAGCCAAAAATA